ACCAAGGCCCAACGAGGTACCTATGACAGCAAGAAAAGTCGATCACAGGACACGTACCCATGACTAATATTAAATAGTTCTCTTTATAATATAACCGTGCGTGAAATATGATTCAACGAATTGGTCTCTTTTATCTAAGCACACGTGTCAGATGACATACTCGGTTGAGTATCACCAACTTAGTAGAGAAAATTATAAATGAATAATTTAAAAGTAGAATTTATTAATGTGCCCATTATTGGGCGCAGATTTACTCCTCCCCGATGGTTGAGTTTAAAACCAGTAACCAACATGCTTCTACTATCTTGTCTGTTTTGTAAAGATCATTAACCATCAAAATTAGTGATGATCGCCACGACGGTTTATTGTGCTCTGCGAGGCACGGGGGTGATGGTACCACTTCCTACTTCCAAAGAAACTAAAAGGTTCTTAAAAATTCCAAATACCGCAGCACTTCATGTTTACTTGCTACAATAATAATTACACTTGAAGAGAAAAACCAACTAGGAACAGAGTGTAATAGTATATTTATCTATTATATAAACGAATAGTAGATTGCGTTATAAACGCAGTATTTGCTGTTGACCGCCTATAATAGTCTAAGCGGACTTTCCAATCATGACTGACCTTTGCTTCAGGATAACAATTTTAAGCCTAGACTAGCCTATTTGTTCAACGACCTAGATTCAGAATATCCAGAAGAAAGGGATTTACGTTTTTTTTTCTTGTTATTTGTAAAATACCGTTTCCCTTGCATAAATATGCCAGACATTAATAGCCTGGCATATTAATGTCTGGCATATAATTGTGCATATAATGAATATGTGTGTCCTTCCTTGTTAAAGGGGCAAGTAGATGATGTGGCGGAACGTTTTTTTTGGTGGGGTATTAGAACCTCGGACTGCCGTTAAACACAAAGTTAGGTAATGTATTTTACAATTGCACAAGCTAAGCAAGCATTTGCTAAGGTGGTCGAAACTGGATGCAATTGTCATTTTAAAATATTTTTACGGTTTAAAACGCGAAATATATTGTTAAATTAATTGAATTTTGTGCTTTATGTAATGTCTAAATTTGCCTAATTGACTCCTAAATTATAGACTTCGATGTTTGAATGTTTGCTTACAATATCAGATTACTGTCATCATCGTCTTCCATCGTACAGGATAAACTGTCTCCCGACATGTCAGCGACATCTTGTTCTTGATTCACTGACATCAGTACTGCACTAACTTGTCTAGTTCCTAATACATCATTAGCAAACCACAAAAACTTAACACCGACTTCGAGTTACTTAATTTAACTGAGAAACATAATACTTTATAAACTTCCCTTACTTTGTAATACTCGTTAAATCACGTAGAATATTATCGATTTGTAAGTGAAAAACCGATAAGACCGTAAAACCGCCGCGTTCGACCAGTGACCGGTAACTGAGTTGCGCGCACGCATTTGGCGAGCGAAAGTGTTTGAACGGACCTAATCAATTACTTTGCATTTCGTTAGACCGTTTAATGTTTGTTTGAATACGTAAGTTTATACGTGGTTGGCTGGTGGTTACGTCTCTTTAGAACTAAGGCCGCTTTTAAAATATTTTTTTCAATAAGGGCGATTTTAAAACTTAGGTTACTTTTAATTTCTAAATTTTACGAAATACCAACGAAACCCTGACATATCTTTACAGCAGTATCATATGGTCACGGTGGATTACGATCGGCGTGAGCTTTTTGGCATTCGTAGTGTCGGCCTATAATAATATATTTCCCGTTTTGAACCGTTTAAACTGTATTTTTAAATATTAACTGTCGTTAATCACACGCGTATGTATCGCTAGAACAGTAAAACAATAATAAATAAACAATTATCTTTCTTAGTAACACCAATTACAGCTATTGTTATTGATTCAAGACACCTGGTAACCCTACAGGTATGATACAAGTTTATAATTACTAGGAAGTAATTTCACATGGCAATATTGAATGTTCTTACCAGCATATTAGCAGATAGGTAGGCACATAATTGCTCTATGAATATTAAATATACACTGTAATATGCGCCGGTAACTAACGGAATGAACGCATCGTGATTTAACAATACTGTTTCACTAGCTTTCTCCTGCGACTTCGTTTCTGTAAACATTCTATAGTTAAAATGTTTTTTCAAATTAAATCACGATTTAAAAATTTTAATATTAAAAGTATTTTAAACTTGAGTCAAACTTATTTAAAGTTTAGTTTAACTACGGCCCGACGTTTCTGATGCTTTGCAGTTGTGGTCACGGGGTGACTAAAAATTGAGGGTCAAATCTATGTTGATTGCTGAATTTGCTTCAATACCGGATTTGTGTTTCGGTGATTCGAAACATTCAGATAGATTATTAAGATGATTTATTTTATTTAATCTGCAATATATTCCTTCTAATGGCTGTACGCATATCATATTCCACTTAAACAAAGCTATTAAAGAAATACCTACTCAATACAATAATTTCAACAGACTACATTTATAACATTGCATAAACGATGAAAGCGTAATATTCACAACAATATTTGTTCCACAGATAAAACTTTTCCGAGCGTAGTTTAGTTGTCTATTATTGTGGTAAAACGAGAAGACGCGTTTTCTTTTTTTTTATTGTATAGCCTGGTAACGAGGCATTTAAACCAAATCTTATTTTCGCTCACGTCTAAACAAAATATTTTAATTTATTACACTTGACACTGTTTCCTACAAGTTGCGTTTTTGATTTCCAGGAACACATAATTTTGTGTTTTATCGGGTTCATACGATAACACCTGTCTGTAGATAAAAGGGACCAATGAAACGGACACAGAAGTATGTTTGCCCATCACCACGTACATTGAATCTCTCACTACACTAACACCTTTTTGATCGGATACTTGCATGTGATGCAGCAACCGCGCAACTTCGATGCACGGCATTGTTATAATCGGCCGCTGCTGTGTCAACTGTCAAACGCGTTACGCGCGAACGATGCTCATCACCCGACTAACTAACTAGGGCTCCACTGTTTTCCCAAGATTTTACGGATCATTGTTTCACGGCCTTGGCTTGAACTGTTACCGAATCGGACAGTTTTTCGCAAACATTAACTCAAACAAACGAGATGAACATGTCATGAACTATTTTTTTTACTTTATACTAAATAAGTACATATTAATGATTTAATTATATGAAAGAGGCCTTAAAACACAACTATATCATCAAAATATAATTTTATTAGCACTTAAACTACATAAAACTGTCCTCAATAAAAAATTATATTACTACGTGTATATAATTTTTTATTGAGTATTTGATATGAATATTATATGTAAATTTATTCATCGAATTAACACGAAATAAATCGCGGCCGATATTTATAAATGGTGTAACGTTTGGCAAAACAAACCAATATTATAATTACGAGAGAAAGTGAAACAGCGATTTTGTTTATCGACATTTCGGATATAATGTTATGCAAAAGTATAAATAAATGAAGTAATGAATTACATAGCGTTGTATAATTATTCGGGTAATAACAAATGCGTGTTATGTCAAGCAAGCAAAATTTGCACAAAACAATGAAACGGAGACGCCATTGTGTCGTGGAAATTGGGGCGTATTTTTTAAATATGTACAGCGCCATCTTGCGGACCTTGTACCATTAAAAAGACACTAAAATTTGGCATAAAACATATAAAAAGAAATAAATATATTATGAAGGAAGTATAATGTTGTAAAATGTCCTCGATAGTGAAATTACTTAGCGGACTCTACATTTTGAGAAAAAAGAACAAAAAGTAAAGAAATATAAAACAAATTTTGTTGAAAAATGCGATACTAAAAATGTTAATATAAATTACATTTACATTACCGTGTACATATAGAAAACGCCGGAAGTAAACAACAGTCCTAGGTAATAACTAAAATAATGACTGTAGAAGGTATTGAATGCAAATGTAGAGAGACCCACGGTTTTACTCGTAGACAATGACAATGCTGGTGCAAACTACTCACGACACAGATTCTCCTCATTTCTAGTATGTTACTACTACATACGCGCCACTTAAGAGAATCATTTCTTAATATCTTCATTTCATGAAATTGTGGGACTATAAACATGTATTAATAAAAAAAAAGTCTGGTAGTTTGAACCCGATTGTTTGAGAGATTGTTTTGGGAATTATTTTTTACTCGGCCTACTTTACGGTCGAAATTTGTACATTACTATATATATATAAGCGTACGAACACGCTTGCCCGGAAGTCATGGCAAAAAAAGATATACGCATAAAACTCTCATCAATGAACGATTAACTACACGTCTGAATGCAGACGAGAGGCTAATGTAGAGCACGCAAGTTGCAGCAATACAATCTTTATAATCCATTGTTTAGAAGTTACGTATTTTGATGTTATCTTGCATTAATTGCTAGACGAATGAACTTTTGTATCGAAATACTAATAATAACCTTTGGATATGGTTTTTGAAATCATGTCTCAAAAGTTAATCTCTTTACATGTGTTATCTAATGGTAGCAATGTTTGGATAACAATCGACATTTCAATCATTTTTTAATCCATATATAATTTTTCTGAAACCCTTTGGACTGCGTCTCGAAATCTAGATATCCAGGTCACGAGCCACCGTCCACAGACGAAAAAGCCGTGAAGTACAATCACGTTTCGGTTTCAGTCTGTGAGTTCTCGAATATTAAAAGCAAAAATACGTAAACAGGCAGGGTATTTTACCTAACATTAAGTGAGCCGCGTACTTGCCTGTCCACCTCTATCATAAGAAAAGTAGAAGTGTTAACTTATTAATGTACTGTAAACCTTATAATACCTAGGACCTAGGTATTATGTGCAATCGTATTTTTTAAATAGTGTACTCACTCAGGGCTCTGTCTGAAGTGGTCGACAGCAAACTGCAGCAAGGGATGCCTGCCGTCGTGTTGCTGATCTCTTCTCTCTTCGCGAATTTCCCTCTCCCTCTCTCTGTCGCGGGGTGGACTTGCTCGGCGGTCTATTTCTTCTTCTCGACTCTCCCTTGCTGCTCTAATTTCTCGTGTCTCTCGAGACTCCCTTGATTCTCTCGATTCCCTGGATTCTCTCAATTCTCTTGTTTCCCTTGTGTCTCTTTCTCTTGTTTCACGTTCCGGTATTCTATCTTTTACGTTTGTTGTTCCATTTGTAGTTGGTTTTGGTTGTATCTGGAACAAGAGAATTAATTTAACTTTTAATCGAACGCAATAAATAAATGATTTCTAAAACAATTTTCTAATAATGATAAGATGTTAATATGACAAATGTTACCCTTTAAAAATATTGCAGCTTAGGTGCAGTTTTAATATTGTTATTGTAGGTTACATGTACACAGATATACTGTTACATTTTAAAACTGAGACTAAATAATAATAAAAAAATATTACCAAAAAGCCAAATAATAAATATCTACTAGAAAGCAGTGGACTTACTGTAAATCAAGAGAAAAGTGTAAAAAATTAGTACGTATCCTACATCTTTGAAATCAATCAGAGAACGTACTATGTAATTAACGAGGTAAGCACGCAATGCGTCACGCGCGGACTGCGGATTGATAAATGTCTGTAGGGCCCCAAAATGTGGGGTCTCATTTTAGTAAAAAACGGGGCAGGTCTTGAATACTAAAGCACATGACTTATAAAAGAAAATCACGTTATTTAAAAGACGGAACTTTGAATATGGATTCGAATTGCTCTACCCACTGACAAGCAGCTGGTAGTGCATAGTCATATTTTTTTTAATACAAAGTTAAATGTATGGCTTTTAATAAAAAAAATATTCAAACTCAGTTTTTAATAAACATCGGTGAAGAGTCCCAGTGCTTCTTTTGAAAAGTGTATTAAAAAATTTTCATTTTGCCCGCCGTTAAACTTGGGGGTAAACACAAAATTCACTGCACATATATTTATCACATATTTGCTAAATATTATAATCACTTTTTCGTTTCATGCTATTTATATTGTAATAAATGTATTTTAATTTATTTACGTCACTTTGAGTTTTTGTGTAAAAATAATTTTAATAAGTTATTTAAAGTTTAAAACGCGAAATAGACAGATTACTTATTTAACTACGACCCGATACTTAAATTAACAATATAATTCGTGTTGAAGCACATCAAGAATCGTTTTTATTTACTACGTTAAGTTAAGCGGTGAACAAATATCTTTTCTTGCGATGCCAAGAGCCTCAAGAAATAGTTACTTAAATCCGTCTCTGTAATTTGTATTAGATTCGCAATTCGCATTATGTAAAGGACTGGTCGGCTAATTGATAATATGTAACAAATCGTTGATGGACAGTAATTGACTTTATTATACTCAACCTATGTAAATAATAATTGAACCTTATCGGATTATTTAATTGTCTCTTAGGTAATGTTTTAAACAAATATATTATAATATTAAATGTTTGCATAAAAAAGAGTAAAGAAAAAAATCATTTATTAATAGTAGTTTTTTTTTTCAATTATACCTGAGTCGCAGCCGGTTTCTTTTTCAGAGCTTTCCTGCTCAGAGTCCTTATAATGCCGTATATATTTTCCATTCTCACTTTACAACATAACACACACTATCAATGAAAAACACTTTTCACCAACATTTGTTTCGCTAAAATAAATATGGTATTGCAGCGTGATCTTGCGCTACACGAACGAAGCGCAGTGGTCGTATGCACTCAGTCGATGCGCTTGGCAAATTTTTGCATTTCGATAAATATTAATGCATTCTCGTTTCGTCGCTCCGATAAATCGCGTTTTTTATAATTGCCGTTTCGTGCTACAGTAATAACGAACTGATATGAAAGTCAGTTAGGACAAAATATAAGAAAGTCTAACATAAACTTTCTTATAGATTTTGTCGTAACCCCACATGAAAAAAAATGGCTGCACGTGATCTTGAAAATCAGGAGATGGTACTCAAACAGTGGACACTGTAGTTTAACAAAATTAAACACTCGAAAGAGTTTTGCCCATAAATAAAGCACATATAATTTAAATAAAACACTTTAACGGTTTAAAACGCGATATATTAGTTAAACTTATTTGAAAATGATTTTTAACTTCGACCCGACGTTTCGGATGCTTTGCAGTAGCCTTGGTCACGGGGAGACACAGTAGGGCCGAAGTTGAAAATCATTTTCAAATAAGTGTAACTAATATTTCGCCTTTTAAACCGTTAAAGTGTTTTATTTAAATGTCTACTACTCGCGTAAACTATAGACAGTATTTAAGTACATATAAGATAGATTTTTTAATTAACTGTTTACATATTTGATTGTCTTGGTTTCTGCGAATTTCCATGATATAATAAATGTATTTTGTGTTTAAATTTTATATTTGTTTGAGTTTAAAAAATGCGACAATAGAACCAAAAAAAAAAACTATACAAAACTCTCATCCAAGGCACACAGTCTAGAGTGCATCTTTTAGATGGCTTCGGTGGAGTATATCGACTACTACCAAGTCTACCCCACGATTGTCTGTCCTTCATTATCTAAAAAAAACAACAGCGAACCGCATTGTTCGACCACTGGAACTACTGTGCTGCATAACGTCGTTTTTTTAAATTTATTAAAATCTTGCATAATTTCGACCTTAACTTAAAATGTTTTAAATAATAAAAGATATTTTATTGTTTATCTATAGAATAATGAAATATTATATTATTCATTGGCTACATTACCACAGACAACGTCTTCTATTCTTCTGTATGACATTAGGCTTAGTACAAAAACTAATAGATTACAACTGAAGCAACAAATCAATGACAAATGCAGTTTAGTAGCACGGATATGCCGGCCCGACCGGTTTTTAGTTCTGAGAAAGATATAGCCGAGTCCGGGAAACGACGTACAATATCGTTTACAGTTGTACTACACAACTACGGTATCGGCTTTTTGTCTGTGCAAATTATAAGGTATTCATTTACCTGTGGTCGGTTTAAAAAATGTACTCAGATCTTCTTTTAATGTCGGGGGGGATGGAGGGGGGGGAGGGATGATCGTGAGTCTTGACTTTAACGTCAGCTGTATATTTAACGTCTAATGAAAATGCGCTGTCAACTCAGTCTGTGTATGAACATTTAGAAAACGGTGTGAAAACAAAAGCCTACCTATCCGTTACCGGTTTTTCATAATAAAACAATTTAAAAACGCTGTCGTTTAAAAAACGATTTACGTTTAAAATGCGACATATATTAGTTAAACTTGTTTGATTTGTTATTGTTATGTTAACCACGGGGAGACGAAAGATGGAGGGTGTCTCTGACGTCAAAGTAAAAAACTGCTGCACTAGCGCCATCTGTTCCGTCGAAGTTGGTATTTGGCGAATATATATCGCGTTTTCGCCTACTCGCGTACACTACAGACAGAAATTAAGATGCTGTCGTATTCTTCAAATTCAAATAATTTATTCTAAACCAAAATGCACATAAAATTATATCATTGTAACGTCGTAAATGATACGAAATATTAATTTCACTATTATACAAGTTGCAGTTATTTGACCAAGTTACAAAAGTGTGCCAGGAAAGCGTTAATTTAATTATTATTAGAAATATCATTTACAACTATGAGCGTAAACGTAAAGACGACATATTGTTAACTCGATTATTTTATATAATGTTAATCGCGTTCAAATACTTAACAGCAATATTTACACGAGGATTCGGTACTTTGACTGACAGCACTACTACAGTTACTGATGATATTATCAGCCGCCATATATCCCTTCCAATGCACGGCAGAGGCGACACCTAATTCTATACTTGTGGTGTCGGTTCTTAGAAATATCCTAACTACCGGACTAACATCTCTTAACAACTTCCTCGACCTGAACAAGCGCTCTTAAGCTTATAATCTGCAGCAGTATTGTAGCAAATTAACATATACTACCGTAGTTTACGCGAGTAGTACACATTTAAATAAAACACTCTACACGTTACCCCGTGACCACGGCTTTTGTAAAGCATCCGGAACGTCGGTCCGTAGTTAAAATAAAATATTTCGCGTTTTAAACCGTAAAAGTGTTTTATTTAAATAAAGCTATATTAACAATAATTTCATGTAATTAACTTCTAACATGACAAAAGTTAATACAATTAATGTTCTGTATATGTATATAAGCCTAATTTGCACGAAATTGGTCAAGCGTGAGTCGTGGACGTTTACTATCATTAGCTGCACTCACTGATACACTTTCACGATCCGTTATGTATATTTATATCGTGTCTGTCTTCGTTACAAAGCAATGTATTGAATTTGTTTGAAATGACAACGTCATATTAAATAAGTCAACTAGCAAAACTAACAATTGACGCATCGTGTAGAAATTTTTGGGCCTACTAGAAAATAAGAAATACTTCCATCATTCTTCATCACCCTAATAACTTTTTGATTGAAACACACTTTAACGGTTTAGAACGCGAAACAAACGAGTTTAAATTTATTTCTACACAAACCCAACTCAATAAATAAAATTCACTACACACCATTACATTTAATCATAAAATTAGGTATATAACATATCTTCGAAGATAGACATCTAATAAAACCTGATTTAAACTTTGTCCTAAAGTAAAAAAGGCCTATGCATGTCGAGGTTAACAGCATTGGCGTAAATCGTACTGAAAAGGGCTTGACACAGAACTCGGTAATAAAATCGAGTACTCTTAAAGTTCCATATAACATATTCATTTAATTAAACGTAAAATTCGTCGAAGACCCGGTATATTTTTTAAAGTGACAGTTATTAGGGTAAACGAAGAACATTGGCTTTTTGACAGACATTCGGTATATCACTTTTTTATGACAATTGGGTTAACTTGATGGAGGACAGAACATACTAAACAAGATGCGACATCGATCTATTTTGGCTTCTGATATTCGGAGATCCACAGACTAAAAACGAAACGCGATTTAGCCTTTTTCATCTGTCGACGGTGGTTCGTTAATTTATTCGTAAATTTCAATATCCCTATCACCCATTTAACGTCCACATTTCCAGACGAATTCCAACATGACAGAAAAATTACAAATTGCCTAGAAACATTTTGACCATTGGGATTGAAACCGCCCCTTACACCAACGAACCCGAAAATCTTTTTATATACTAGTGAGCGGGCATAAAAATTTTATAAAATATCTATTAAAAAATAAGGTTGATCGTAGA